AAAATATTTTTAATTTATATTTATCTTTTTTTATAATTTGTTTGGTGCGAGAGATTCAAAGGAAAAGAGTGATGACTTTATTTTGATTAATTAAATTAAGTTATTAAATTAATAAAATAATTTAAATAACTTATAATAATTTATTTCTTATTTTTGCAAACCAAGTTGTTAAATATTCAAATACTCATATTATTTAAAAAAAATCTCAAAAAGAGAAATGTATTTATTATGTTGGTTAATTGAAATAAAAAAGGTTTTTTTTTTTAAATTAAAATGTATGGTGCACAATTAGTAAACCTACCTTTCAATGCAAAAATTTAGAAGGTATAATTCTCTCGTGTGTGTCTGTGTAATAAAAGAGAAAAAGAGCGCACCTGGCACGAAAGCACCAAATTAGATTAAGGTGCATTCCTCCTTTTATTTTTATAGATGGATTTCGAATTTATTCCTTAACAATTAATTCAAAAAAAAATAAAAGGGAGAAAAAGCATAATTTTATTTAAAAAGGTTTATCTAATTTGTATTATAAAGATATAATAAATATATATATTTTAATTAATTTATATTAAAAGTAATAAAAATTAACATATATTTTAATATCATTAATACATGAATTATTTTAATTGAATAATTGATTAAATTAAAATTTATATTTTTAATAAAAATTAATTATAAATAATATATTTATTATATTTTTATATTATATTCTAAAAATATAAGATAAAAAAATTAAAAAAGAAAAATAAGAAGCATAATTTTGAAACATTTTGAAACATACAATCAAAAAATGCCGACACGATTTCCATTTTTCCCATAATGATGAGAATGAAAGGGAAAACAACGATTTTCTTACTCATATTTTAATAAACCATGCCAGCTAGGACCTAGGAGGTGAAGCCGAGCCGTGGAGACCAGTGCGGTAAACGTTGATTTCCGTGTAAAAGTTGAGCCGCCGCCAATCTTTTCCATTCGCTGACCGTGTAAAACTAATCATATGATCAACCCTCCGCGTAACAAAAAATATAGGAAAAAAAAAAAGTTATACAAATTACGTAAAAAATCAACAAATAATCTGTGGACAAAAACTAGTGGCTTTACAAGACACTCTCCGGGAACCGGAAACCGAAAACGACGTGGTTTTGTTATTGTCAAACCTTACTATTAAGCCTTTGGATTTCCGTTTTTTTCCTCACATAAGCCCTCAAAGGAAAAAAAAAAAAGTGTCAGGCAAGTCCCCTATCGTACATGTCTTAAAAAATTAATTCTTATAATAATGGCAACAATTTAGTACTCTTACGTTAGTTAAATAGTCTTTCCCTTTTTTTTTTTTGTCTATCACATTCTTTTTATTGATTTAATAAAAAAAATATTATATACTAATTTTAATTATTACTGTTAACACGAAAAATAATTTGCTAAGATTAAAACCTTTAAGAAATTGTACCAATATCTATTGGTTCAGTAAAATAAATTTGATTATTTTTAAAGAAAATTTTAAATTTGATTCTCTTAAATGAAAAAATAAACACTAAAATTTTTTTTTTCCTTTATAAAGTCGTGACTTTTGAATACAAAAAAATTTTTTTTAGAAGGGTTTATGCAAGAAAACTACAAAAATTTAGGAGCTTAACCTCAGTTTTGCCTTTTTGTTATTTAGCTTGGTTGGTATTGCTCGTGACAGCGAAAAGCCTGGTCCGGTCATATGCACGAGGTCGCGTGATCTGATACCCGCTGTAACCGCCAGCTATTTCCGTTCTGGCAGCACCCACAGTAAAACAGAAACCTCCTAAACCCGCCGCCTTATCCTGTTGCCACGTATACTTCGCCCTTTTCAGTTAAGCCACGTGTCGGGTTCACGCTGCTTTATGCAGTCACGTCTGTTCAGGCTTTCCCCAGGGTAAGTCCCACTCACATTGGGGAATTAGGCAAAACGTCGAAAACACCCCCTTGACTCGCGTATAAATTGGGTAACCAACCGAGGATCGCGTCGGTATTTTCCATATGGTAAACTAACTAACTGGATGGTGGGAGAAACTGATATTCTACACCTCATCTCTTTGATGCAAAAAGTACACGCGAATCAGAACGCCAGAATCAGAAGCCCAAACTCCGTGAGTCAGTTAATTGGACGGCCAGATCTAACTGAATTAGACATTAATACACTGTACCTTACCACACGTGATAATTTCAATCCTTCCAGACCTTTTCTTCTCTCTGACCGAAACAAACCAGAATTCTTCGATAACACCGTCCTCTTATACGAAATAAATGCCCCTACAAACAAGATAATAACATTACTTTTAAATCTTGTTTTACTGAAAATTTGTATTTTTTCAAGGGTAATATGGGAAAAATGTGGAAAAACGGAAATTTCCTAGGGAAACGAGCGAAACGGGATTAAGTGCGAAACGCGTTTTGGCCGGCTAGATGTTTTGGTTGAACCACCCAACAACTACCACTTTCCTTAGCAACTTCTCTCCATTACTTTTTTTTTTTTTTGGGTTTTGTTTCCTTCTTTAATTTAATTAAATAAATAAATTATTTACTTTATTTTTCCTTTATTATTAAAACTCCATTAAAGCATTCCGATTTGGAGTAATTTAAAACTATAAATCATCCTCTCGTGGTTCTTTTCCACTTTTCTAAGCCTTCCCTCGTCTTTCACTTTTCTCTCTCTCCATCTCTCTATCCGTCTGTTTTTCATTTACCGCTTTTTTCTCTCTCTTCGCTCCCGCCGGGAAACCGCCCTTTGTCACCGGAAAACAGCTTCTGTTTCCGGCGGAGAGCGTCTCTGAGAGCCAGGAAAACCTCCAATCTATCTTTTATTGGCAATTTCTGTCGATATAACGAACATTTTTTTTTTTTTTTTTTGTGTCTTGGATTCCGATCTCCTTCTGTACCTCCGTTCGGTGGAGTACGTGGCTTGTTCTCAGAATGTGGTGAGTTTGGCTGCTGTCTGATGGTGTGGTTTGATTTTATGTGGCGAAGCTTGTGATCTAGGGTTTGGTATTGTAGATTTGGCTTCTTGTTGGATTGTTTGGTTAGGTGAATTGGGAGAAAACGGAGGCGTGTAGAAAACCATTGCGGCATGAGATGGTATGTGGATTCTTATCTTGATTTCTATGTTTCTTCATTTTCCATTCTTAATCCCTTTTCTATGGATTTCATGCCGAAAATTCTAAATTCGAGGCCCTTTTTTCTTTTTTGGCTCCACGGATCTTAAGCATTGCTTTAATTCTGTAACCGTTTCTTAACTCCTCTATCACATTCCATTTCCATAGGTTATTTTTACATTTTCTGTCATTTTTAGAATTTTATCTTTAGAATTCCTTTTGGATTCCATTTCTATAGATGAAATTATATGGCCTAGAAGCTTAGAAAATGATTAGACGCCTTTTTATAAATTTAAAAAACAGAGTAGTTTTTTTTTCCGTGTTTTTTTTTTCTTTTTTTAAATTTCTACAATTTTTCTAAATTTAAATTTAATTTGAAAATATAGATAAGATTTTTGGCCGAACTTGCAGAAGCCAAGATGAAGAGGTCTTCAGCCTTCAAATTTTTAAAATTCAATTCAACTACGATTAAAATTTTGATTCGTCAGATTAAGGAAGATTAACCAATAGTAAGCTTGGTTTTGACCACGTTTTAAGTTTGTTTGGATGACTTTTGGAAATTTGATTTGGTATTTTTAATCTAATTGTCGTCATATTTTAGAAATCACCGAATGGGCCAGGTCGCTGTGTTGTCAATTTTTGTTGAAAGTCTTTGGCGAGAACTGTCTGTCCGTGATTTCTCACTTGCAATTGAACATGTTTGATGCAATTACTGCTTCCTTTTGACTTTTAAGGTTTTAAATGGTAAATCGTTGACTCATTCCAACACTAATGTTCTTTGTTTGGAAAATTTTCAGTTGCAAATTTATTACTTTCCCATTTGAGTTAATTCATGTTCATTTTAGCAATTGCCTCGATGCTTTAAAAATGGTACTGTTTCTAGATAGGTCCTGTTTTTTTGGTTAACCTAGGTTCCAACGCTGTGCTTATTTGTTTGCATATTCACTTTAAAATGCATGCCCTTTTTCTTTTTTTTTTCTCTTAACTACTTTTGAGGCTAAGATGTAAATCTTCTGTGGCCAGGATTGATGTAGGTTCTTTTAGTTTTGCTCTTTTTGAATCTTAGGTTTTGTTCTTTGACTGGTGATATACTGTAGGTATAAGTCCTTTAGATTTTACTTTAGAGTTGGTGTGTTTTGATATATAGAAGAATTCTTGGTTGAATCTTTATAAGTAGCAATTGTTGAGCATATTAGATGTATTGAATATTGATGCACGATGGATGAATTGCATTAGGGAAATCAGGTGTTGATACAAAAGAAGACAAGTATTTAAGCTGCATCTTTTGTGGAGGATTATTAGCCTACCATTCTCTTACTGTATTCAACTTCTGCTTTTTATTTCTAATGTATATATTTACTGAATTTTCTCTACTTCCTTTATGTTGCAGGTGGAAGGAAGGGGGTGTTTGTCGAAGGAAATTAGAAATGGGTTAGAAATTTTGAAGCGAAAACGGCTTCAACGGCTTCAACGGCTTCAACAAATGAAATCAGAAACAGTCTCCAAGACTGCAGGTGTCACCAATATGATGGCCAGAAGTGGAGGAGATGCTCTCCAGGTTTCAGCGCCTTGTGGTGTGAGACTGCATGGGAATGTGGATACATATTCTCAGTCAAGTGGTGCCTCAACTGAAAAGGATTTCTTTTCAAAGCGCAAGGTTGATAAGTTCAGCACTAGTGACCTAGAATGGATTGAAAAGATTCCAGAATGTCCTGTTTATTTCCCAACTAAAGAGGAATTTGAAGATCCTTTGGTTTACTTGCAGAAGATTGCCCCTGAAGCTTCAAGATATGGTAATACATTCTCACAGGAGATCTATTTGCTGAGTGATCTTTACTAGTTTTAATGGTTCAACAAATTAACTGGTTGTTGAACCATAGATTTGGTGCCCATCTATTTAATTGCCAAAACTTATTTTATTGTCCATCAGTTTCCCACTGCCTGTTATTTCATGTCTCCATGGCAGTGTTTTTATTTAAGATTTAGAATTTTCTGTTTCCTTTTTTAATTTTTAACTTAAATTCTCAGGAATATGCAAAATTGTTTCCCCTGTGTTTGCTACTGTTCCTGCTGGGGTGGTATTGATGAAGGAGAAGGCAGGATTTAAGTTCACAACTAGAGTACAACCTCTCCGTCTTGCTGAGTGGGATACAGATGACAAAGTCACTTTTTTCATGAGTGGGCGGTGAGTATATTCTCAGTTTAAGTGAGATATAACTTCGTGGCTTGCATATTTTTCGTGGTTTTGAATGTGAGCATGACTTTTCAGAAATTATACATTTCGTGATTTCGAGAAAATGGCAAACAAGGTTTTTTCACGTAGATATTATAGTGCTGGTTGCCTTCCCACCACGTACTTGGAAAAAGAGTTTTGGCAGGAAATTGCATGTGGGAAGACAGAAACTGTTGAATACGCATGCGATGTTGATGGTAGTGCCTTTTCTTCTTCTCCTGGTGATCCACTTGGAAATAGCAAATGGAATTTGAAGGTATGGATTTCACTTCTTCTTCCATTTCCTTTTTTTTGGGGTTTGCTGAAACATTTACTTTGAGGGCAAAATGTTAGACAAGAGAAACATGTTATTTTATTGACATCTTTGTGAAATTATCTTATTATGTATTAATTTATATGGTCATGATATCTTTGTAAATCATACTGATAATAAGGATCTCAATAGTCTTGATGCCAGTCATTTCATCAAAGCTGCAAAACATACTAAACGACTTATATTTGTATTATTTGACTGTAAGAAAAAGGTGTAAATTTTGGAAAGGGGCAGCTATTCTCTAAACTTATTAGGGCAACTTCAATTGGATGGAAATTTGATTATATCAGGTGTTACCACAAGGTTGTTGGATAGAAAGATAATGCTAGATTAAACGAAGATAAATTTGATACCTGTGATATGCACTGTTTGTGTTCTGGATTGTATAAGAACTGGTCTTTACATGCTTTAATATTTCTCGTTTCAGAAACTCCCAAGGTTATCAAAATCTATTCTGCGTCTGCTTGAAACTGCCATCCCGGTACGAAAGCATAATTCCTCCTTTTCTTTTGAAATTTGTCTATGGTTAAATATATGAGCCTCATATGATTTATGCTGTATTTGTTTCAGGGAGTAACTGATCCCATGCTTTACATTGGTATGCTATTTAGTATGTTTGCTTGGCATGTGGAGGATCATTATTTGTATAGGTATAAATTGTCCTATAAAGACTTTTTTGTTTATAAGAAGTTTATTTGTTTTCTTAAAATTAACCTGTTCCTTTTTATGGCAGTATTAATTACCATCACTGTGGGGCATCAAAAACTTGGTATGGCGTTCCAGGTGAGGCAGCTTTAAAATTTGAAAAGGCGGTGAAGGAACATGTGTACACTTCTGATATTCTGTCCACTGATGGCGAGGATGGAGCTTTTGATATACTTCTGGGGAAAACAACTTTGTTTCCCCCTAATATTTTGTTGGATCATGGTGTCCCAGTGTACAAGGCTGTGCAGAATCCTGGAGAGTTTGTAATTACCTTTCCTAGAGCATATCATGCTGGATTCAGTCATGGTAAGGCACCTTCATTTTTAAGCTGTGCTGCCGAGGAGTTGGTGAAATGAGACTGTCAATTAGATGTTTCAAAAATACATCTCAACCTCCTGAGTTAAATAACAAAAGGTACTATTGTAATCTAGCAGGTTTCAACTGTGGTGAAGCTGTCAACTTTGCAATAGGTGACTGGTTTCCTTTGGGGGCTGTAGCAAGCTGGCGTTATGCATTTCTCAATAGGGTGCCCCTCCTTCCTCATGAAGAACTTCTTTGCAAAGAAGCAATGATTCTTTATACAAGTTTAGAGTTGGAAGATTTGGATTATTCATCACCAGACATGGTCTCCCACCATTACACTAAGCTTTCTTTTGTGAAATTGATGCGATTCTTGCATAGGGCTCGTTGGTCTATAATGCAATCAAGGGCATGCTCTGGTGTATTTCCAAATTCTTATGGAACTATTGTCTGCAGCCTATGCAAACGGGACTGTTATGTTGCTTTCATTAACTGCAGCTGTTACTTGCATCCTGTTTGTTTGCGACATGGTAATCATTTCTCTGCTTCTTGCACTAGATTCTACTGATAGCGTGTGTTTGATATCAATCTTATGCTCCTAACTGATTACATGGATGCCAATTGCATTTTGCAGATATTAGGTCGCTTGAATTTTCATGTGGCAATAGTCATACTCTCTTCTTGAGGGATGATGTGGTGGAGTTGGAAGCTGCAGCCCAGAAGTTTGAGCAGGAAGATGGTTTATCCAAGGAAACTGAACAACAATCAAAATGTGATGATGACTTGTACTCATATCCACTGTCAAGTACATTTCAGACTTCTGCTGAGGATGGATATTATCCATATTGTGAGATTAACTTCAATTTAAATTATGGGATTGACACAGTTACTATGGGTCAATCAGAAGAACATGTCTGTCCTACATTGTATAACTATAAAGACACTGAAGTGACAGATGGTTCCTCTTCTTTTGCTGCATCAACAATTTGTTCTTTCACAGAACAAGTTGGATCTGTGCCAAAAACTGTAAGATCTAGATCTCTGCCTTCAGATTGCATTATCATAGTGTTCATGCTACTTAAGCTGTTGCTGCTCTCATTGTTACTGAAAAATTCTAACTCTGTTTTTATAAAACACAAAGCAGGTAGAGAGGATAGCCAATTTAGGAGATACTGCTACTAAAATGTCATCTGAAGTTCTATCACCCTGCAAGGTTCAATCTTCTCCATTGTCATCATTTGAGGATCACCGGCATAGTGTTCAGGGCAATCTTCATCATTCTGATTGTAAGTCTAAAGTGGATCAAGACACTGATGATTCTGACTCAGAGGTATTTAGGGTTAAGCGCCGTTCTTCTTTGAAGGTGGACAAAAGAACCATAAATCAGGCAATGTTTTCAAAGCATCCTGAACAGCAGGTATGGGTTTTGCATTGTTGAAGTCAACATCTCATGCATATTTAGACTGTTTGCAAATTGTTTGCAATAAATTCACATGTGGAATCTTCAATAATGCAGTTTGAAGCTTGAAACTAAATACTAGATAAAAGAGTTGGAACTTTTTATTAGGATTTCTCATGGATTTTGTGCAAGTTATCTTGGATAACTATCGAGCAGATTTTTGTGCACTATTCCTGTTTTTCATTTTACTTTCTTATTTTTGACTTTCTTTCATTCTACTTTATTTTTTACCCCTTCAATACTGCTGCTTTTTGATACAAACAATGGCACTTGGAACATAGGTAGAAAATTAGGAATCAAATTATATTCTTGCCTATTGAGTTTTCCATTGCAAAGTAATCATTCAATCACCTGACCTTTTTTTTTTCCTTGGTGCGGGCTATACATCTGACTTTGCCCTTACTTAAGAAAAATAAATTCTGATTGTCTCATCTCTGGATGAGCTTTTAGAGGGGTTTTCGCCTCTAGAATTTTAAGCTGTGGTTCTAGCATTTCCCTATGAACCAGTAGCTGTCTAGAATATTACTGCTTGCTATGATAAGTGCACACACGAAGCAGTCCATTATCTTTTGTTCTGTAATTTTTTGTCACACTATCTGTCAGCTTTACATTTTTTTTTTAAAAAAGGTGGTTTTTTAAATATGTTTTGTATGGTCCTCCACGCTGAAATTTCTATATTATAATAAAGAAACTAATTTGCGACATCTTTCAGGGACTCAGGCGATTAAAGAAACTTCAGCCTGTAGGACGAAGATGTGGGCAAGCAATGCCGTTGGAGTACTGCAGAACTGATGAATCGAATTGCAGTAAATCTGCCCCTAACTGGAAAGATAATCCTGAGACTTTGAAGGACCGATTTGGTAGACGAAGTTCTCTTACAATTTCTATCAAATACAGAAAGTCGGGCAATGACAACGTGCTGAGTAGACAACGAGAGCGGCACAGGAGTGATGGAAGGTTGGAGCAAGAGGTAGGAAAAACAATGAGGGAGCCTCCTCGTATAGAGTTTGGGCCAAAGCGACCCAAATTCAAAGGCCCAACATATCCGGAGTCAGGGCACAGATTGTTTTGAAATTTAGATTCCAGAAACTGACAAGAAATCGGGTCGGCCTGCCTCGGGGAGCCAGACTTCGCTAACACTTCATATTCTCTAATGGGGTTCTAACAACACTGGAAAATTGACATTATTGATCCTGGGAGCAGCAGCAGTGAAGATTAACCAAGCTTAGGACAAAAATTTTCATTCTTTGTGCAGGCCCCGAACTGGGGCATTTTGCGCATTCGTGATTCTTGGGGGTTCTCCATGCCAGAGTGTTTTTCTGCCCTTGGTAGGAGGTCCTTCCTGCAAATGCTGAAGTAGGGAATTTCGTTAGTAACTCTGTAAAATTGTTTTCTATCTGTCCAATTTAATTCTTAGGAGAAGTGGGAATTCCAGCTTCTCCTTGTTTAAAATGTGCTGCTTCCCTTGCTACGTTCCTTAATTCTTTTTGTAGCAATGTACTACTAAAATAAAGCGCAGAGAAATGCCTGTTCGCCTTTTATTTTCAATGTCTTTTGCTCCGATTTTTATTCTGTTTCTCAAGTCACATCTGATGATTCTGAATTTTCTTAGCCTTATCAACGTGAAAGGGGAGGAATTGTGCTTTCTATGTATGCTGTTTCAAGCTGTTTAAACTTCAGAACAGTTGTATTGTCTTTAGCCTCTTCTTTCTTTTTCGTTCCTCTTTAGTATGGAAGGGTCAAACAAAGCTGCCAATTATGCTGTTTTGCAAGTAGCAGAACAAGATGGGCCATAGATGTCTGATGTGTTACCCCTTGGTAATTAGGACGAAAGTCATCTTTGCCTTTGACATCTCACTGGGGATGCCATTCCTCTGGGGTCAGAGTGGCAATGTCACCAATGGCCACCGTTCTGCTCTCTGTTGGTCGCTATCTTGACAATGCGACCCTTGCAGTGTTTGCTAAAGACAAAAACCATTAATGAAAATGTTGAAAAAGGAAACTGAATGGTTGGAAATTACCTTCCAGGCTTCCACCGTGGCAAAATAAGTCCAAGCACGCTCAATACGCTACTTTCAACTTCGTTTTTAAATGGGTTTGATGTTGAAAATGATTTGGAGTTTCACAGAAATACAATAATTTGCCCATACATCAGATCTTCCCACCAAAATTTTAACTACAGGAATAATTTTTTTTTTTTTAAAAAAAAAACAACAACAGCAATTACTAAACCAGAGGAATAATTGAAGGAGAATCCCACAAGACACCTCTCCGATTGCATAAATTTTGCAAAAAAAATTGTACTGCAACATCTTTGTAGTTTGTACCATCATACTGATACCAACAACTATAATAAATTGACAATGACAATCAGCGACCATTCATGTTGGTGCATAGTAAATATATATATATATATATATATATTTTGAACATTTTAATCATAAAATTGACTCAAATCATTGTCTTTAAAAGAAATATGAATCTTACAAGAGTGATTAGAGTCAGCCCATAAAAGCAAGTTTATATATATAAAGAAGCCAAAATTGCATCAATTAATTATTTCAACTTTAAGTCGGCAACATCTGAATCTTCGTTGTCTGAACTTTGGACCCAACTAGCCCAAATGAGTGTGGAGGGACTGCCTTAGGGCCCTCACTTAATAATGGGTTGGGTCCCCTCCTTGTTGCTTGTTTTAAGCGCTCTATTGCCTTCAATTGTTTTCAGTATTAAATTTTTAAGTTGGGAGTTTATTTATTTCAAAGAATATGGTGTTGATAATAAGAGGATTCACTCATTCCTCATTAACTAAAATTAAATTTCAAGGATCAAGATTCACTTGTGCAAGTTTTACATAAATTTTCATTCATTAATTTTGAAACCCAACGGCTTGAAATATATTATTATCATTTTCTCAGTATAACTTAGAAATTTTAACAAGTAGCAATTACTACAAAGAAA